GGGCAGCACAAGCTCAGCTGTTGTCTGGGTGAAGGTTTATGATCACAACGCAACTTCCTTTACTGTGATCATTAGCTTAAGAATATTGATTTAAAATCACATTCCTGGCTAACAGGATCTTGTTCCCTAGTGACCTAATCTTGGGCTACTAGACTTTAGCCAGACTTGTCCATCTGGCATTTCCAAGCCTACAAAGGGCTGCTCCATCCCAATTCTGAAGCCAAACTGGAAGGGAACACATGGGGTGAGCATCGGTGAGACAATGCAACAGAACCCAGCAACCTTGTCCCATCAGAAACCTGGCTGGCCATCTTGCTCCCAGACAGCCTTTGTCTTTGCCAAGCTTACACAGCTGTGTGGGGCCAGACAAAATCACAGTTGATGGCAAGACTGTGTCATGGTCTAGGCTGCCACGAAGACAAGGTGTGTCTTATTCCCAGCACTTTCTCTTTCTGACCAGGAAATGATGTCTGCAGCTCACCTCTCTCTTCTCGAATGGGCAGGTCTGCACAGGAGCCTCCCTTACCTTTCCCTGCTCCACTCTTCTTAGAGTTTCTCACCCATGCTTCACTGCAAGTATTAAAATACACCCTCCAGAGTTGGTGAATGAAACTCAAAACAGGAACACCATACAGAAAACCAATGAAACAAAAAGTAGCTTCTTCAAAAACAATCATTAAATTGATAAGCTCTAGCAAGTCTGACAAGAATAAAACGAGAGCAGACAAAAATCCCCCACATCAGGAATGAAACCAGGGATATCACTACAGACCCTAAAAACACTAAGAGGATTTAAGAGTACCGCAAACAACTTTAAGCTCATGAATTCAACAACTCAGAAGAAATGGAACAATGTCTTAAAAACCACGAGCCACCAAAACTCAACCAAGATGAAACAGACAACCTGAATGGTTCTTATAACCACAAAAGAAGCTGAACCTGTCATTAAAAAGATCTTGGAAAAGAGCCCTCCCAGGCCCAGGTGGTTTCACTGGAGAATTCTATCAAACATTTAAAGAAGAATTAACAAAAACTTTATAATCTCTTCCAGAAAATAAAGAGGGAAAACTTCCCAATTCATATTATGCATATTATGCAACCTTGTTGGCTAATGCAGCATTACCTTGATATCAAAATCAAAAAAAGCAGTAAAAAAAAAAACCCACAAAACTACAAACCAATACTTCTTCTGAACTTAGAAAAAATTCTCGACAAAACATAAGCAAACTGACTCCAGCAAGGTCTAGAAAGAATTACACTCCCAGTGGTATTTATTCCAGGTATGCGAGGCTGCGTCAACATGGGGAAATCAATCGATCTAACCTACCAGATCAACAAAATTATCAAGTGGCCAACAGCACCCTTCTGCTCCTCTGACCACCGCGTTAAGACACTGCCATGGCTGAGCGGAGACGCAAGCCATCGTTCTGGCCAGGCACCTGCTGACCGACTGCAGCTCATACCCAGACTCGTGGGTAGGACCCCTGGAGATTCACGCTTGGACGTGACTTGTGCAGAGCGGTTTACACACAGACAACACGGGACAGTATTCCTCAGTCCGCCCCAACGCACACCCGAGAAGTCCAGACAGCGGCATGCAGGCCCATATGCTGCACAAGGCGTCTCAGTGCTCTGCAACCAAGTCACCTTGTAGCTTTCATACCTGAAAGCACATCAGCCCTAGTTTGAGTCAAAGAGAAAAGATTCTGCCAAATTTCAACTTGCTCTGTGCATCAAGAAAGGAGTGAGACTGAAGTGCCCACAGTGAGTCCTTGAGTAGGGCACCCCTGCTCATCTCAGCTCATTGTGTTCTCTGTGTCAAGACTGAGCCTTAGTGCTTTGGCCCACACGTGAAACCCACCCCAGAAGGAGAATGTCTTGGAAAGATAAACTCTGTAAGATCTTTGGATCTTTTGAACTTAAGAAGTATAAAAATCTTCAATTTTTAATGTAAAACCTCCCCAATTCAGCTCCTTTTTATATTAAAGTTGCCCTTAAATGTTTTGAGGTAAACTTGGAACACCCTAAAATCTAAATTCAAGTTCAGCTGGCTCTGAAATTGTGAGTCAAAACGGTGTCATTTAACCCCAGCCCTGACTGGGGCTCAGCACATGCGTGCAGATTTGCACAGAGCAAGGTGGGGCTTGCGAGAGGTTTTCTCACCTTGCCTGACTTTCACGTCTTAAGTGGAAACAGACCACAGGCGGCACAGGTTTTCCTTCAAGAAATTCATGTGATAAAGTCAAGCCTTCTTAAACCAACCCACCTAATGGGCAGAAATACTGATCCACTATTCCCAAGGGGAGGGTGGTGGGAGGTAGGGGGAGGTAAGAAAAACGTGCCTTTTGTGTGTCTGCTGGGCTGCAGTGTTGAGAACTCAGAGGGAGGAACCTATGACCACTTAGGGCAGCCGGGGAAGAGTTCTCTCTGGCTCTGCTAGCCCCAGAACCTAAGGAAAGCAGGGCCCGCTGTGTGGATGTTCAGAGCCCACACCTGCAGCTTCTCTGCCCTCAGAAGCAACTACTTTGGCAGCAGGTACATGGCCAGTGTGCTAGTGGCCCTCCCATGTCTGGTTGGCCAACAGAGCAGGTGTCTCTGAGCAGCAAGGGTAACAGCACCTGGGGCGCCATACTGGTGACGCTACCCCCTCTGCGCATTCCCTCTGTGAGCCCCTGCCCCACAGCTGAAACACTCCATCTGTCACTTAAGTCTCAGCAGAGCTCAGGGATGCCTGCCGCTCTATTCCCGCCTCACACCACCCTGCACAGAGGGGCCTGCAGTTTCTACACCTGCCTGAATTCTGTCTGTAGATCATCTTTATTTTTATTTATTTTTTAAAGTATTTTATTTATTTGACAGAGAGACACAGCGAGAGAGGGAACACAAGCAGGGGGAGTGGGAGAGGGAGAAGCAGGCTTCCCGCTGAGCAGGGAGCCCGATGCAGGGCTGGATCCTAGGACCCTGAGATCATGACCCAAGCCAAAGGCAGACACCCAACGACTAAGCCACCCAGGTGTCCCGATCATCTTTATTTTTAAAAGTGAGTTATCTTCTACCCATTCACCAAAGAAAATTCTTGAGGTTCTATCCACACTTTATCTTCTCATTTCTGTAGCCTCTTCTCAATTTGTCACAAACTGGATTATCCTGCTGGATTTTAGCACTCGGTGCCTTACAGGGTCTCCAGGCACATGAGTCCCATAGCAGCCAATGTAGAGACACATGCAGGATTCTTAGCTTTGTCATCCCTGAGAACATTCCTGCCTGCCAGTAACACGAATATACTCAGTCCACCATCAGCCCCTGGTCACAGAACAATCAAAAGGAGGGCGGACAAAATGAGGCAATGAGAACACCCAGAGCGGCCAAATTCAATAACCCTTCCAGCCCTCCCTCCACGTCCAACCAGTAAAGGGTGACATTGGAATCCTCCACCGCTCTTCCAAACCTGGAGCTTCCAAACTGCAGCTGGTTCCACTTTGTGGTCAACACAGAGAGAACTCTTTGTGTAGGACTCCCACCTAATTCCATTATACCAGAACCTCCAAGTTTTTCCCTTGAGTTGGCTCACAACATTCTGATTGGAGAAAGCAAGATTTACCTCAGGGCTTTTATCTCTTTGGGGCACTAAGATACCTCACAAACAAAAGTAAAAACTGCCTTAAAACCCCTCACAGTGTTTTACTGTCATATTGAGCTTTTCTTGTGGTCTAAGTGCTCCCCTATACTAGACAAGTGGAAATATTTTAAATACAGTTCCATGGGGGTGCTTTCAGTTCCGTGTGTCTTTAAAATATTCTACTACTGACTGATACTCAAAAACATCCCACAATTTGAGAAAATTAAAACTACAAACTTAACAGTGAAATATCCCAGCTTGACGATATAGGAACATTAAATGGATTTAAACAGTGAGGACACAGAATTGTAGCTTTATGTGATAAATGCATACAGCAGTTGGGTCAGATGATGAGTCTAGCAGGGATGGGACAGAACACCAGAACCACGACATAAGAACAACACATACACCATGCACTGGGAAGCAAAACACAATGCCCACAGGCTGGCCTCCTAGTTCCTGTCTCAGGCTGGGATTGGCAGACTCCCACAGGAGTTTACCCAAGGAGTGGGTCTATTCCAGGAGCAGACAATTCAGCCTGAGCTCCATTCCCCTCTGCCTCTTGTACCTGGACAGACCCTCACTCATGCTACCACGTTTCTGCCAACAGGAGAGTGGGCAGACAGTGCTGTTTACCCATGCAGAAGCTGGGGAACCATCAGCAAGCAAGTGAACAGAAACCAAATGGTCTGAGCCCGAGACCCCTGGACTATTTACTGAAATCCTGAGGCCACTTGGATCGTCTATCCTGCCAGGCACCAGGTCCTTCATATAAACGTATGCAGCGAAGTGATCTTTAAAGTCACGTATAAAATCTTTTAATGAAAGGACAAGTGTGTGTGTGTGTGTGTGCGCGCGCACGCCCGCGCGTGTGTGTATAATGTACTTATATGTAAGATGAGCATATTGCTAACAAGTTTAAGGCTTACCCATTGTTTCCTCCTCAAGCTCTTAAAATAAACTGGGTCTCTTTAGAGGATGCAAGTTTACTCAAAATTTAGTTTTTTCTCCTCTTGAAAAATTATAAAACTGGGGGGAAAACCTGACACTGAGAAAATGCAGTGTGTCACACAGAGATAATTATGTGGTAATGGTATGAAAGGGCAGGAAACAGAGAAGTCTATCATCAGGTGTGAATATCAAATGACTTACTGTAACAGAGGAATCTCTGAAACATACAATGAATTGCTACCTTACGTTTTATTTTCCTTGCCCGTTGACTGAACCTGAGAGAAGAGCTTGCCCCCGGTCCCCAGAACAGAGCAAGCAGGACCGAGCCCTGACTTTCCCATCCACTACCCCCCACCCACCTCCACGCGGCCCCAGGACACTGCTGCCACCATCCCCTCCAGCTGCCAGAGACTGAAAGCAGCCCACGCACCTCCACGAGCCGCCAGGCCTCACTGATGACGGCGTACTGGAGGCGATTCAGGGCAAAGCCATCAATCTCCTTCATGACTCTGACTGGGGACTGCCCAATCTTCCGCATCAGGGCGTAGGTTCTGTCCACTGTTGCAGGGGCCGTCTCCGGGTGTGGGACCAGCTCAACCAATGGCACATAATATGGTGGATTTACCTTATGAGAGACACAGAAGGGGAGAGGGTCAAAAGACAGCTCTGGAGTTGGGGTGCTGTTCTGGCAGACCCTACTTGCCTATCTCGAATGGTCAGACGGGGCAGATTTGTCTTTGGAAAGGCCTCTTTAGATTTAGCATCCAATGACAAGGAACTTGAAATATAAAGTAATCCACAAAGGAGGGAAAGAAAAAACCTGAGCACAGAATTCTGTGGTTTTATTTATAGAAAAGTCAATACCAACATATGAGTTGAAATTTGAAGGTGTGGATGACCATTCTGTGCATTCAGGGCTAATCTCCACACCCCTGAACTCCCCAGGGGATTTCTCAGCAACCCGCTGTTTAGCCCTCATAGGCTTCTACCTACTCCCAGCCAGCCTCCAGAGCCACTCTCTCCACAAGAGTCACCGCAGGCTCTTGCTATTCTACTCTGTCGCTATTAAAAATCATTGACAGCATCTTCCCAAACTTGGTATTTCCTTAACTTCTCCATGTTAAGCCTCAAATGTCTACCCCACCCTCCCACATCCAATCTCACCTAGAAACCACACAGCATCAGAACTCTACCGCAGCCTCGACATCAGGACACGGCCTGAGATGGGAAGGGTCGGTCCACTGTGAGTAGGCCCTAACGGAAATGCTTGCCTAGGCCAGCACTTACACTTTGGGCTCTGGTTTTCTTGGTGTACTTTGAGAAACTGTTCTTGAACATTCCCAAAGAGAATTATCCTGGGTCCAGAGAAAATGCTGCTTGGTAGAACCTGATTAGCCTCACCATGAAAAGCCAAATGCACTGCAGTATTGTTCCCCAAATGATGCTTTTAAATAATTTTTCCTTGAGATAAGGACAAAAACTGATAGAATCTTACAGTCACTTCAAGAAGCATCCATTTTAAAATGACTTCTACAGGGGCGCCTGGGTGGCTCAGTTGGTTGAGCGACTCAGCTCAGGTCATGATCCTGGAGTCCTGGGATCGAGTCCCGCATCAGGCTCCCTGCTCAGCAGGGAGTCTGCTTCTCCCTCTGACCCTCCCCCCTCTCATGATCTCTCTATCTCATTCTCTCTCTCAAATAAATAAATAAAATCTTTAAAAAAATAAAATAAAATAAAATGTCTTCTACAGAGAAGGGAAAGAAAAATTTCTTTCTCCTAGGACACTGCTTAGGAGAGAGGCCTCTGGTCCACACACAGCTTAGCTTCAGAGATTCCTTTTGCTCTCGGCCTGCCCTGGTCACTCTGTCAGCCCTCTTAGAAAGCAAGAGAGGATGACATCTGTTTTCAAATAAGTAAATTATATTATCAGTGCCTCAACTGAATCACTTGTCTCCTGCCTATACTGAACTCTTATAAAAATGTCTACCTCTGTCATATCAGAGGTACAATATCAGAATTGTAAGAACTGGAAGTATGTGTATCTTAGATGAATTTTATCTTACTATCAGACAAGGATGTTGCGCTTAAGGTCTTTCAATGTTGCAAGCCTCATGGGTAGCAAAAACAGATTGAGACTACAGTTAAAAAGCATTTGTATGTACAACTTGCTTGTTTCCTCATGCAAGTATTCCTCACAGGCTCTCCTCCTGCCCACACTCTCCTTAAATGGTGGTGCTCCCAGCCTGCCACCACTAGCCTCCCTCTGTGCCCACTCTCTGGCTCTGGGCAGAGCTCAGCAGCTCCCAGGGTGTCATCCCCACCCCAGTACGCTGAGATCTCACCTCCCACTCCAGGCCCGTATTTGTAATTGTGCACTGGACACACCCCTAGGATAGCCAACGAGCTTACACTCAATCTATCACAAATTAAACTCCTGTCTCTCCCACCCTAAAGCCCTGGATCCTCTTCCTAGCACGCCATCTTGATGAGAACACCATCACAGCCCCAACACCCAAGTTAGTACCACGAGCAGTATCCTTGGTGCCTGTGTCTGCCTCGCCTCCCTCACTCCCCATCAGTGATTCTGTCAGTTCTATTTACATCTCTCAGAAAACCCATTTCTGCTACCACACGGTTAGCTCAGGCCATCACCTCCAACTTAGATTCTGGCACTCTCCTCACTGGCCTCCCTCTCCAGGCTCATTCTCTCCGCCACTGCCTAGGTGATCCTTTGTCAGGCAGGGGCCTGTCAAATCCAGAGACAGAAAGGAGAACCCAAGACTGCCAGGGCTGGGGGCAGGGGACAGAGAGTTGCTGCTTAATGGGGACAGTTTCAGTTTCAGAAGACAGAAAGTCTGAATGGATGCTGGTGAGGTCTGCATGACAGTGTGTATGTGCTTGCTGCCTCCGAACTATATACTTAAAAATGGTTAAGATGACAAATCTGATGTGCATTTTATCACAATTAAAAAAAAAAAAAACAAACTAAAAACAGGATGCTAATCGTACCACCTGCACCTCAAAACCCCGCAGGATTCTGATTCCCCACCACCCACTAAAACACAAGTGCATGATCCAGCCCTTTGAGCTTCCTAAAACAGGTTGAGTTTTCACGTTTCTGTCCATGCGCTCAAGTCGATAAGCTTCTGAGAAAGGACCTCCCAGAGTCAGAGGGCCTGGATGGGGTTGTTCTTGCCATGGTACCCTCAGTCCTGGGACAAGGACCCTGATGTCTACTAGAGGCTCAGAGATGAACAGTGACAATGACAGGTGCCCCTTAAATTTAACACAGCAGAGAGAGAGAGAGGCGAGGTGGGGACCGGAGAGGACAAGAGATAAGCAAGGCAAGCAACTTTTTTTTTTAAAGATTTTATTTATTTGACACAGAGAGAGAGAGAGCCCACAAGCAAGGGGAGGGGGAGGGGCACAGGGAGAGGGAGAAGCAGGCTGAGCAGGGAGCCCGATGCAGAACTCGATCCCAGGACCCTAACATCATGACCTGAGCCGAAGGCAGACGCTCAACAGACTGAGCCACCCAGGCGCCCCAGCAAGCAACTCTCTTAAACAGGAAAGGAATGGCTGTTTCCTGACTGCTGTTCTGTTTCTGACACGGACGGTAGGACCTGGGCCTTCTGCTGTTGGGAGTCTGAGAGTTAGACTCAGAAACATGCCTTCAAGAAGTGGGAAGAACAAACAAAGGAGGAAAGGAGGCAACTTCTTTAAAGGTTACAGGAGATGGTCCTGGGCTCAGCCGGCCAGAGAGCGGGCGCGCTTTGCTGCAGGCACAAGAGAGGGCCTGGCCTGCGAGGCTCTTTGAGAGCTCAGGTTGAGCAGGGTGGTACAAGGGGCGCATTCTCCGTTCACCTGGTGAAAAGCCTGCCCAGAATCTGGACCAGAGCCGGGGAGGCATGTGATCGCCCCGATAGCACAGCACGTCCAACACAGAGGCTTCGTTTATTTTCTCTGCAGCACATTAAACAGAGTTAAACTCACAGGGGAAAGGCAGACTGTCCCTTTTCCCAGAAGACAGGTGCGACAGTTTGCAATCCATTCCCACAGCCCTGCTGGGGAGGGGGCACTCCTGACCTGGTGAACTCCTCTTCCTCTTCAGGAGAGGACGGTAAAAATGAAGGGCTGTCTTGCTTACAGCCCGCTGAGAGGAGTTAATCCCTCAGTGTTTTGAGAATTTAGGTAGTAAGCCCCTTTGGTTAGTTATAAGCCCACCACCCCCTTCCTGAAGTCACCCTCCACAGACGGTGGACGGGGGGGGGGGGGGCGGCGGCAGACAGCAGCTGGCGACACGAAACGGGCACTGCTTGCACACGCATGTGCATGTTCTCCATAAACAGGCCAACATTCAAATGACCAACAGGAGGGCAAATGGTTCCGAGTCAGGTGGGAGGGGGAGTTGGAGAAGGTGCAAGCGTGGGCGAGGACTGCTCGATGGGAACACTCTGGGCACCTTCTGTGGGTAGGGCCTGATTTACTTCCAGGCTGTGTTATAGCTCCGTGGCTGACTAGTAACCTATGTGAGAGCTGTGTGTTTAGGAATTGTTTCCACTCAAGACTGTAATCCCAACTACATCAAAAGCTAATGATGTAATGTATGGTGATTAACATAATAACAAAAAATAAAAAATAAAAAAGACTGTAATCCCAGAGCAGATGTGCGTCCTTCCCAGGCAGCGTCATCTACAGGGCACCCATTAGAATGGCACCAAGAGCATCCGATGGGCTAAAGCAGCTCCATCAGCTCCGTGGCACCAGCATGTCCCCAAGTGAAAAAAGGTTGTAAAGTGCGGCTGAAACGATCAGTAGAAAACGGCTGCTTTGATTGACTGCTAACAGATATAAGTACCAAGAGAGAATGCAACCAAATTCAACCTTCAGACAATCATCAGCCACCAAATGGCCATCCCTGAGCCCCCCTACACATCCACAGGGAGATGAGGCAGACAAGCAAAGGCAACACAAAAAACATTTGAGAGGAAGACTGTCGGGGATACAGAGAAGGGCCACATTAACACCCCTCTTCAGGAGCCTTTCACTCTCCTGGCTCTGGGCTAGGAAGCCCACTCGAACTACCTGAACACTGAGAGAACACGCTCACCCACCCGTGCTGAGCTGACCTGAAGCTCCTCACCCCCCCATGGGAAAAGGTGCCCAAGAGACACTATGTGATGTGGAAACTCCTTGGCTGCTGGTTCTCCCGCGGAGGGGTGGAGGCCGCAGTCTTTCGCAATTGCTGACTATCCACTTTTGCCCCAGCCTTTCAGATGCATGAATGGGCTTCCTCTTCCTTTACCCTATTTCCTGTCTGGCCAGAGTCGCGGGTGACTGGAGCACAAAGCTGAGGCGGTGGCATGTGGGCTGACGCGCCGGGCTTCTCCTGCCTGGCCTGCAGGGCTGAAGGGAAACTGGAGCTCCTCAAAGCCCGTAAATGGTTCTGGATTACTTAGGGACTGTCCATCCAGCTTAGGTTGAATCATTCAGACGCCTTTTTCCCCACTCTCCTTGAGCTCAATGGAATGATTAAACAGTGCGCAGCACCAGCACAAAAGAAAGGATAAAATTCCAAAGACGGTCAACTTGGGTGATTTCATCTGCTTTAGTTAATGTTGGCTTTGGTATAAAATAATCTACAAAAGTAGTAAGACATTAATTTTTGAAATAAGGTCTGAGCTTACTTTGGCTATGCTGTTTGCCTCTGATTAAAGAAGTAAAAGCAAACAATCCTGGAATGGTAGGAGAAATGTCATTATTCAACTACTAGTACTTGTTAGGTGTGACAGGAAGGTGAATAAGGTGTAATCTCATCCATCAGGTAGTTTAAAATTAAGAGATATGGGTAGAAGTCTCGTTAAAGGACTTATGAGGTATTTTCTAAACAATTTGACTTCGTTGTTCTTTTTTTTTATTTTACCTGACTTAGAAGTGAAATCTCTGGTTAGAAATTGGAAGTTTTCAAGCAAGAGGCTTACACCTTTCACTGAAGCAACTAACAATCTAATAAGTGGTTTACAGTTTCTAAGAGTCCTTTTTACAGACATGTAAATGTCATAGAAGCAAAGACAGGACATGTTTCATGGAACTTGGTATTTGGATGCTTCAGTTAAGGTCCCAAATAAAGGACATTTCCTATATTTGAGTGGTAGCTAGACATGACCGGTTTTCTTCCATGTTCTGTGGGTCTAAGTCTCTGTATATTATGACCAATCTCCACTTTCCATTGTACTTCAGTAGGAGGACATCCGGACATCCACAACCATAGTCATGTGAATGGTGGTCCAAGCAGTCCCTCTCCTCAGCACATAGAATCCAGCAGGCATCTATGACTCCCCTTTGGCCTCAGCTCCCTAAGCAAGTCTGCTACCCCCACTCTAAACTACTCTTGCTCAAAAAGAGGACTTTCCCTGCTCTCAGTCTAGGACCCTCAGCCTCACCAAGGCCCTGGTCGCCTATATTTGGAATACTGCCACAATTCTGTGAAGTAGCTGTTCCCCTCCCTCAGCCATCTTCAATATAGAAAGAACCTTCCAGTTACCCTCCAAAAGCAGCATTTCCACCACATCACAAGGCTGCTCTGTGCCTAAGCCAGTCCCAGCTCTTCAGAGCAACTCTCATGTTTCTGTATAACCCAACTGTTCCTAAGCCTTCCAGCTTCTTCCTCCTGCTCCCTAAGTATGTGAGGTATGTGTGCCCTTCCAGTCAGGCTGGTCTCCTTGCAATTCTGCACGCCCCATGCTTGCTTTTGGCCAAGGGTCTTTGTTTACACTCTTTCCCACTCTCTCCTCCCTTGTCAGCCCAACCAGATCCTGCCCAGCTTGGCCCTAGCCTCTCCTCAGCCTTCACCTCTGATGGCCTGCTGGTGCTGGGGGTGTGGCCACTGTCATCTACTCTCCTATTTATTATGGCTTGAGCTAAGTTAGCTTTTCTGTCCTAACAGGCTGTCCCGGTTCTCCGAGGTCACAATGAACTCAGTCGATACTCAAACCCCCACCAAGTGATTCCTGGATCTCCTCTCTGATTCCTCTTTCCTCACATTACCACGTTCATCTCAAAAAGATTTACTGAGTGCTTGCACATCAGTTTGAAACTCACTGTCCAATATACCTCATCATGCACCCCCCAGTGAATAAGTCTGCCCAGGTAATTACAACAGATGGGTGCAAGGGAACAAGAAAAGGGGTGGGGGTTTAAAGTCAACCTACTGAACCAGAATCTCAGGAGCAGGATCCAGAATCTGCACTTGAGGAAAACTGATCCTACTCTGAATTGTGTTGAGTAAAATGCACAGCACAGTGACATGGCTACCAAATCTTACTCAATGTATACATTTATTAAATGTAGCTTTTTCCCTGACAGTGGAATTATGTGTTTAGTAGTCTCTGTCTTCAGGTGGACAGTGAGTTACATAAGGGTGAAAGTGTATTAGTATTGCTCATTCTATTCCATTATGCATTAGGTATGCAGGTACAATTCAAGGCATTTTTGGATTAGATTCTTTTTAAAACTGCCTGTATTGCACAACTTTCTAAATATACTAAAAAAATATTAAACTATACAATTTTAATTGTGTGGCATATGAATTATACCTCAATAAAGCAGTTAAAATATACTAGCAGATTAGTCAAAATGTATTGCTCCTGAAAACCAGAATGAGATACAACAGTTCTTGAGGTTTAATGCACTCACGGGATGGGCCACAATGCACTGCTTTGCATGCACCAGACCAGCAAACAAGTTGGAAGGCAGGAGGCAAGACGTGGAGCTGCTCAAGACAACCTTATCATCGATGATTTGATCTAACTGAGCAAAAATCTTCTTCTTCAGCTCCAGGTTTTCTGGAACACATTCCTGGAAAGGACATATTCAAATTATTATTCATGATACTGCACTCAGGCCCCAAGCAAAGCATATGTCACATTTGATTCATTCCCCAAATGAACCAATCAGAAAACTAAAAGCTGCTGAAAAACGCAGCCAAATCTCCATAACTCTGGAAACTGGGTGACACGCGTATGGGAGCTGTATTTTCTAGTTTTGCATGGGTCTGAAAATTCCCATAATAACGCAGTCTGCCAAGTCTATGGGGCGGACACGACAGCGCCTTTGGCAAAATGCTACAACCGGTAACAGTAGTCATCACCACTTATTTCTCCTATCTGTCCTGACCATCAGATCAACTTATCTTCAAGGAAAAATCTTATCTTCACAAAATGAACAAACATGTTACATCCATAATTCCCAAAAGGCTCCTTGAACATCCATTTCTAAGGGGAAATCCTTTTGCAAAGGACCTTTGTTTCCAAAAATCTAAAATTACTTTAATAGGGGCATGGGAGGAGGACAAAAGAGCAAATTTGGATTACGTGCTGCAGATAACACCACTCTGAAATTCTACTCATGCACAGAGCTGGGGCAGAGGGAGATGACATTCTCCAACACCCAAGTGCGGACCCACAGGTGAGGCCTGTTCCCGGGAATGTGATACACACAGTGGATACCGCCCTGCTGCAGATGGAAGCAGAACGGGAGAAGGATACTCAAGCTGCTCCAGCACTAGAAATACTAGAGGCGTCCTTACCCTCCTGCCACCAACTCCCCTGGGAAACCACACAGCGGTCATTCCTACCCACGATGGGTCGCAGCTTACTTGCAGGCAAGAGGCCTGGAAGGGGAGGTATCATGAACTCCCAAGGTTCCCTGGTGAATTTATAAGATAATGGTTTCAGTATGGTCCAGTAATCATCAGCATCAGAATCAACTGGGTGCTTGTTAAAAATGCAAATTCTCAGGCTCTCATCCCAGACCTACTGAATCAGTTTCTGGGGGTGGGGTCCAGATATCTGCATTTTTATCAAACATTCTAATGATTTTTGTTCCTACTGAAGTTTGAGACCCACTAGTCTGAGGTGTGGATCCAAAGTATGGGTCATCTATACTCTCAGTATGGCATGCTACCAAATATATCCTCGAGAATCTCCCCACTGTGATGTCAGAGCTCTGTCCTACCCTCCTCCCCCAGCTACTCAGGGACCAACCAAGGACATCCTGATTATGTTAGCATTGTGGTAGCAGAAATGGTATAAACACCAGCAGATAACCAAAAGTGTGTAAAGGTGAACATGCAATGCTAAAGGACCACTAGTAATTATATGAGAATCACCCCTCAAAAATAAAAAAATATGTTCAAGTTTGATTTAATACCTAATTGTTAATAATGAAATCTAGTATACTGAAATCAGCTCTGTAAATATTATGACAAATTCCATTTTTATATCATCTACAAGATTTAAAAAGTTTTACTCTGACAGTAAGGAGTCAATATTGTATTTGTTTATGCTTTTTTAAAAATATAATCAAACCATGTGAAATTTTATTAAGAACAAAAGGTCATATAAGCGCCACATCTCAAAGATAGAAAAAAAAATGGAGTCATTTAAGAACTGTAAAGGCCATTGTATTAAATCCCCTTATCTAAAGGGGAAAAAAAGCTACAGTAGCTGGCTGGTTGTACTGAGTAATTCCTGGATCAGTTAAGTCAGCAAGTTGGGTTAAGTTTAAATGGAGCCTTGTAGTAAAGCCAAAGACTAAGAATGATGCAGATACTGTTTAAGCTAATAAAAGAGTCCTCATGAATAGCCTTATTGTGAACCTGTCATGCAGATTCCCCCCTGAAATTCTATGCCTTTCTTCAGATCGTCTGATTATCAAAGAGGTAAGAAAACTTGAACCAGAGGAAACCCAAACCTGCTACAATTATGTAAGGGTTTTTTAATGGCACATTACTTGACATTTTGTTGTTGTTGTTGTTGTTGATAGTAACAACTGTGTTCAATTTGGTGGGCCAGGGTTATAATGCCTCTGTCCATGTTCAGCCTTGAGTTCATTTCCTTGCTATTCTTAGGGAGCCAATGCTCCTTGTCTGAGAAAAGGAGTATGAAACGCTATTAATCAGGACCCTCAGCACTTGCGGTTGATTGCAAAGCTAAGAGGGGAAAGCTGGGAGGAAGGGCAGAGAAAGGTACCAAACAATGAGACAGCTGAGGACCTAAATGCAAAGCAGCCTCACTCTCTCTAAACTATAGCAATGTGACCAGCTGAGAATCCAGATGGTGCCTTCTCAACGCAACGGTGTTTTTGGGGGGTCCTTTCTAGAGAAAACGTGAAGTGTTAGCTAACGTTCTATCACTACTAAAGGTAATGAGCTTGACTTGGCTTAATTAAACTCTGACAGCATTTTGAAAGCAATGATGATTATCTGTTTGTGTTCTATTTGTTTTGAAGTGGGAGGGAGACACAGCACATAATAAAATTCTCACACACAACCACTATAGTCAGTATGCTCAGATTTCAACAAACAAAACTCTTAGGACAAGTAAAGCACAATGTAAATTCCCAAGTACCACAGCCCTACCTGGTACATCAGAAGGAGTTCACTCATCTCAGGCAGTATCACATAGTGAAAAGGCAAGGTTAAGTTTAAACACTCCTTTTTCCCTTGTCTTCTTGAAAGGAAGAAACTGAATGATTGCATTATAGGTATAACTTTTAATTCTAACTGAGATTTTAAAAGGTAAATTATTTATAAACTTTGGTGTTTTGTTATTAGTCAAAATTACCTGTGACAGCATTTAACTCATTAGGAATGTTCTAGAAAAGCAGGATGGCCATGGCAAGTCAGTGTACTGGATAATTCCTAGGCAAAAGGAGTTAAGAACTCGCTTCTGAAGTTTACTCACTTGATGTGCAACAATACACATTTTTCAAAACAAATATTTTCATGGGGAAAATGAAATTTCATTGATTTCTTTTAAAAAATCAATTCAGGCATTTTAGATAGGTGTCCCGTTGCTAGAAAATCTATATTTGTTAATGCAAAACATCTGGAAGCAATCTTCAATGTGCTTTCCAGAAAGAAAGTTAAACTAAATTAAAAGACCTCAGTACTTAAAGTATTTTACATGCAAGGAAGTTCTATCAGCCAACAGACATGGGGAAAGACATGGCAAGAAAAGAAAGGTGAGCTTAAACCCCACTGCAATCATGGCAGAAGGAAATTCATTCTCAAACTGAAAATGGAAGTGACCCGCATTACAAAGTCTGTTAGCGCTAATTATATCTATTCAAGTTTTCATTATCACAGGCAATAAACTGTACTATGCCCTAACCAGAGGCTTAGTTTTTTCCTTAACATCAAAATAAAAAGTTTTTAAAAGCATATTACAAATCCTAAACAGAGTTTACAATAATCTAGAACAAATTATACCCAACCTAGAGAGACCTTTCCAAAGTAAAACTCAGTGTAGACCTTCGGAAAGTAACTTCCTGCGGATTAGATGTTCCGGTTACCAGGATTATTGTTGTCTGCGTTAAATAGCAGTACTTTCTATGGGTGACCGCAGGGAATGGAGAAGAGGCAGATGGGGCACCTGCATCAACTTATGTCCTGAGGAGGAGTCTATTCCCACCTTTCCAATGCTATTTCTGGTACCTTTTATGAAATCATTTATTTAGAATTAAAAAAAATAAAATTAAAAAATATTTCATTTAAGCCTGCAAATGGCATATAGTTTTACTGCATTTCTAAATATTTCTCATGAGGAAGACTCGGGATTTTTTTTTTTTTTAAAGATTTATTTATTTATTTGAGAGAGAGAGAATGAGAGATAGAGAGCATGAGAGGGAAGAGGGTCAGAGGGAGAAGCAGACTCCCTGCTAGGCAGGGAGCCCGATGTGGGACTCGATCCCGGGACTCCAGGATCATGACCTGAGCCGAAGGCAGTCGCTTAACCAACTGAGCGACCCAGGCGCCCGACTCGGGATTTTTAATACAAAATTTTTACTTAACAAAGTGCTGGGAATACCATAAAACACAAAACTGGAGAAGAGTTAAGTAAGGCATAAGGAATTATTTTTTTTTTAGATTTTATTTATTTGAGAGAGCAATTGAGCAAGCACAAGCTGGGGGAGGAGCAGGAAGAGGGATAAGCTGACTCGCTGCTGAGCACAGAGCCCAAGGCCAGGCCCCCAAGATCACAACCTGAGCTGAAATCAGATGCCTAAAAGACTGAGCCACCCAGACGCCCCAAGGAATGAATTTTTAAGGAGAAAAATTAAAAATAAATAAATTGATGTGAAGGATATCACATCAATCAATGACACCATTTATTACCAGTGAGGACTATTCCAGGTGACAAATCTGAGAAGACTACATAAATTTTTTTTACATTACTTTGTTTTTGCCTCCATATCAAACACATGTATAATGCATTTCCATCAGGGAATCGCTTTATAATGCAGTAACTGTCAAAGCAGCAAAGAACAGGGAGAGGGTCTATTGTGAGATGTAGAAAGAAAAAAAACACAGAAATTAAAATATGATGCTTTTGTTAATAATAATTGGACTAGATATTTTTGCCCACTTTGTTATTGCAACGAGTGAAACAATAAATTGCATTCAACATATTTTGTTGGATGACAACCACTGTTTTATAAAAATGTTCTCATTTTTGAAAACAAGTGTTGTAGTATCATAAAACTAGTTTCACTTGCAACCATGTATATGTTTGACTATAAAATAATTTTATAGTACTTTCTACAGGAATAGTATTATCAAGGCAATAGCTTTTTTTTTAAGATTTTATTTATATATTTGACAGAGAGAATGAGAGAGAGAGCACATGAGATGGGGGGAGTCAGAAGGAGAAGCTGCAGGACTCGATCCAGGGACTCCAGGATCATGACCTGAGCCGAAGGCAGTCACTTAACCAACTGAGCCACCCAGGTGCCCAAGGCAATAGATATCTGTATCTTGACTCCATCTGTCCAAAGGAGAAGCCAAAAAGTCAAAA